ACTGCCGTGGCCTGCGCCTCATTGCCCTGGCTGGCTCGGCCCTCAACTGCCTGGGTGCCTGGCTCAAGCTGGGCAGCCTCAAGCCACACCTCTTTGCTGTCACCGTGCTGAGCCAGGTCGTGTGTGCCGTGGCACAGGTCTTCATCTTGGGCATGCCTTCGCGCATTGCCTCTGTCTGGTTCGGCGCCCATGAGGTCTCCACTGCCTGCTCCATCGCTGTCTTCGGCAACCAGGTACCCGGTAGGGAGAGGCAGCCCAGTGGGTGCAGCTGAGGCAAGCACCCCTGGAGCTAGGTGGGATCACCCCAGCCAGCCCCCCGGCCCATGCCTCAACCCTGTGCTGAAGGACTCCCAGCGCCAGAGATTCCCTTGCCAGAGGAATAGCCTTGGAACTGGGCTAGGTGACCTCAGGAGCTCCCTTCCAGCCCTGCTGCCTTATTGGGCCCCTGCTGCCCACTACATATATGGTGTGGTTCACTGGTGAATCGTGCTATGAATGTAGATCAGCCACAAGGGCAAAGTACTGTATTTACTCAAATGCAAGACTACTCTGAACACAGGCTGTCCTAAGGGCCACAGGTCTTATAGTCATGGCTGCATTTCATCAACTTAATCCTTGGTTTCTGTTACTGAGCACATGCAGCTATTTAATATTAGACAGTGCATTTAATGTGGTTTCCTTGTATGCAACTGTAAGGCAAGGAGCTGCTTTTCCCCCATGCTGATGGTGGGGCAGGAAGGAGGAGGAGGGAGCAGGGGTGTCTTGTATTTGAGTAAATACGGTAATCATCACCCCATGCACTGGTGAATCACACAGTAAATTTAGACCCGTATATAGAGTAACAACCATGCCATAAACAGGTCTATCCGGCTATAAAGAGAGCCAGACAGCTACAAAGTTATTGCTTGAAAATGGGTAGCAGCTGTAGAGCTGGTTTCTCCAGCATTTTCTGGAATATGTGGCAGGGCTCTGTGGATTCTATGACTGGAAATGTAGGCAGGACCTAACACACACAGAGGCTTGTCTAGGGGCAAAAAAGCAGCTAATATGATGCATTTGGGGGAGAACACAGATTTAGCTGGCCTATGGCTTGGCTAAGAGGGGTGCCTGTATCTCAAAGCCGGAAGGGAGAGGGATTGTATAGGGCAGTTACAGGTAGGTGCTACTTGGGATGACGGCAAAAAGGACAACGTAGGCTGAATATAAAGAAACTTTCTCCCAGGCTGAAGCATTTGTGGCCTCCTGCCACAAAGAATGGGACTCCACGTTACTGCTGCTGTTGAAAAATGCCCTGATTAGAAAAAAAACCAAACCCTTGTCATGCTGTAGCTGAAGCATTAGTTTCTGGGGCTTCATAGATAAGTCCTATGCAGTCCCATCTCTCTCATTTTGTACTGTATAGTAAAATAATGAGCATTTCCAGTCAGGCATGTAAAGAAGAAAATCTCTATCTATCAGCTCTTCTAAACTTTCTAATGCCAAGTGTGACTTACTGACTAGCACTCTCCTGGGCTGTAACTTTCTTTACTTTCAGCCATTTGGTACCTGACAGGGCTGAAGAATTCTTTACAACATTTGAAAGGATCAAGTAAATTGTTTTGTGACCCTTGGACCTGAATACTTTGCTGATCCATGCTGCGTGAAGCAAATGCATTCGCACACATACGGCATAGCTTTGGAAGGCAGTTCATGCTACATAGTGCTGAATGAACACTACAAGCAGAGATCTGAATGCTAGCCACTAGATGAACTAGTGGCTCCTGAGTGTCTTCACGAAGTCTGCAGTGGCTTAGTCACTCCCCACTTTCAAGCTGGGCAAGCTGTGAAGCTTGAATGGTTTGGAACTCAGTCTGCTTTTGGTATGCAGTTTTGTGTAGGTGTCCATGGCAAAGTGTATGAAGTTCCCCCATACCCTTGTCCTTTAGTGATGTGGCAGGGTTTGAGGAAAGATCTTTATTGTCTTGAGCATTCTGTGTTTGCTCAGATGATGAAGCAGAAAGGGGTGAAAGCTCTGGAGTGATACCGAGGAGCTGATATTTACTGAACATTTGGAACTTAAGGGGCTTTAAATTCCTTAGAGAGAAAACACACTTCTCTCCTCCTTTTCCTGCTCCTCTTCCTTTTGATAAGGGCAAACAAAAACATTTAGACTCATCAATCTGGCCAGCTGGATGCTTTTTAGGTGTTTTTTTAAATGAATCTTTAGTGCAAAAGGCATTTAACTTGGCATGGTCTCTTTGCTGACTTAGGGGTAAATAAATGACTGAGTGGTCCATTGGCAGATCTGTCTCTGTGCATACAATGAAACCCAAACATTGGGGCTTTCAGCTTGTAGGATGTCTTGAACGTGACTTTCCCATCACTTTAAAAGGTGGGGTGGACTTTTCCGGCTGTTCAGTAGTTTAAAGTGCAGATTTTTCCTGAGTTTATGGCTGCACAGTAATTCAAAGCACCATTCTAGTAACACCCTGATTCAGCACAATGCCTCTTGCTTCATGAATATAACACCTTGTTCTGTCCCCAAAGACCTTCAAGATCACTTCTTGATGAGGGGCTAGGACACCTTCTCCAGGGAGAGTACCTATGGATTTTATGCTAACTGAAAGGCCAAGAAACCACAATATGGCTTCTTCATAGTATGATTGCGTATCTGTTGAATTATTAGTTCCTCCTTGCTCCTTTGTAAGTGGCTAGGAGGGCTTACCTTCAGCCTGACACTGCTCAGAGTCCACATGCTTTGGGATTTGTAATGAAGGGCTCTGTAGTTTAGTGAGCTCATTGTGATATGCCATAGTAGTAGGTTGTTACTTGGTCTCATTCCTTAGGCAGCCTTATGCTTGCTTTTCTGGCTAGCTGTGCAGATTTGTTCCAGATGTTAGTTGCATCCTGCTCAATCTATCATGGACACTTATGGTCTAGAAATGAGATGCAACTGTAACACTTATTTGCTCCTGTTAAGGAAGGGTGTGGGAAACCCCTTGGAGTACACATGCTTCCAGGGAGCCTTAAACAGTGATTTGCTGAAGGGAGCCCCAGTCAGTAAACTGACTTGCCTACTGTCACAACCCAATTAAATTGTGCCCATGCCACTGAGCAAGAGATACCATTCAAATCATCCTCATTTTGACGATTAAGGGTTAAAAGACATCCCTGCCAAAAATTCCTTGAAACAAAATGCTGCCGGAGTACTGTAGATAATTGGTCAGCTGAAATAAAATGCTAGGGGAAACTATATATAATTGGTCAAAGATAAACGTAAGCTCCTCACACGTAGCACACACGTAACAGGTAGAGAAATCTAACCCACTACCTTGTAACCTGAGGAGACAAAGAGCTGCCACCTGCCAAAAATTAAAGATTCCATATAACGGTTCACCATTGGATATTCCTGTAAAACACCTCTGCCTATAAATAGTTTAACAGTTTCCGCCCAAGGCGGAGAGCTCTGGGGATCTCACAGGAAGCACCTGTGCTTGTCACCAGAGAATTGGGAAATTGATCAATTCCCAATCAATCGCCCCGTCAGTGTAAAATATTGACGTAGAAAGTCTTGCAAGTGCGACCGTACGTTCCTGGCGCCACGTCCGTCGTTATCTCGTTATAACCTAACTGCGTGCATGTACTCGACTCTGTAACCAAAGTTATATGCGTATATTCAACTCTATAACCGAAGCAGTAACGGAACAAAGGCTCGCCTGCGTCGTCCATCACTATCTAGGCGACGTAAGTAAACAAACTCCTGTAACCTACACGCGTCTGTGCCTGGTTAATTCCACTCCATCCATCACTACCCGCCTGCCGAGCTCTAAATCTAAACACTCCGGTGTGTGAGTCAGGCGGCTGCCGGCGGCTGCTCTGATTCACGACACCTACCTGTGCTGCAATTGCACTCTGAAAATCTGCTCTGAATACTGCCAAGCTATCTGTGCTAGCAGCACCTTATTCCTGGGGCTCAGATTTATACTTTGGAGACTAACTCATCTAAGGAATTAAATTGTACCAGGTGTTGCATAAGGTCCCAGCTAAGGGAATCCTCCCTTGATTCCCTCAGGGTCTTCTCTTATTTTCAAATTCAAATGCCATGGGTTGATCACTGTTAAGTGAGGCACTCTCAGTAGGCTCAAGCTAGTTTTCAAGAAAGAAGTTTAAATGCTGCCAGCAAAGAGTCTTCTCCTTCAGTTTGGTTGTCTGTCTTCAAAAAACATTAGGAGTGTCCCCATACTTTTCCTGATCTTCTGCAAGGGCTGATACCTCAGAGAAACTGCATGGGGAGTTTTTGCAAAGGAGAGCTTTGGCATAAGCTTTACATTAAAAATATATTAGCAACACTTCACTTGCTGAAAGACCAGTGAGTTCCAAGAGGCCAGAAGCTTCAGGGGGTGGAGATGGGAGAGGACAGTGTTTTTAGAGGGCTTATTACTGGTCTTTAATGTAACTTCCCAGTAGTGCTAAACTGCTATGCTTCTATGCGGTGTGGTGCAGAGATCCTAGCAATGTCACATGTGAGTGATTTTTTTCCAGCTGACTTAATGTTTAGAGCTCCATCATGATCCTTGCTCAGCTGAGTTTTGTGTGTGTGGGAGGGGGAAGTACTTGGCCAGGCTGCCTCCCTCCAGTGTACTGTTCCTGTTAGCTGGTCAGTGTGTTCTGACCCAGCTTTTTTCATAGATGTTACGTGCTGAAGCAAATGGGCAGTGGCCTACTATTACAGGAAGACAGCTTCTCATTCCATCTGGGAGCACTGTCCAAGGAGGACAGAGATGAAGCTTGAGAGAGAGCTTAGTGACTTCAGGAACATGGGGCTGCTGGAGTGGGGGACACCCCACTCCCCATTGCTTGTGCTTTTAAAATCTACTTTGCTGTCTTTTTAGAGCTGAACAAATTAATTTATGAGACATGTTGGGATGTCGCACTGAATCTTTCCAAGTAGCACTAAAGGCTAAAAAGCCCAGTGATGGGAGCAGGAGAAACATCTAGTGTGCGAAATAATTTCCTTGTAAGCTCTCAAAGTCCCCCAGGGCTACCTGGGTCTTCAGCCAAGCACCCAAGAAAGAAATCTGATAACCAGCTGTTCTGATGGCCTGGACTTTGACTTTGGCTCTTGTTTTAACACACTGGACACCACTGCAGCACCTGCTTTAGGTCTTGAGAACCGCTCCAGTTTTTCCATCCGCTTGTTACCTGGAGAGTGGGTGGCTCCATGCCAGCTGTTGCCAGCAGGTAGTTGTAGAAT